TGCATGCCATAGATTTCTGTTGGGATGCTAGAAAAGGCCTGTCTATTTGGCTTCATACACTAATGAAAATGTTTGTGCCTTTTACTAACTATGAAATGTTTGCTCAAGATTATATGGAGTGGAATTTGTTTTACATTACTGCAAAGAGTGTTCACTGTGATGAAGAGCTATGGGGAGATCCAACACTGAATGACCACAGCCGTTCTCAGCACTTCTGCTCAGAACAAATGTAAACGACGCTGGTGCAGTGTTCCATGGCAAAGTCATTAAGAAACATCGTTACTGGAAAGATTCTCCACTCTGAGAAATGTGTGTGTATCTGAGTCAGAATTTGGCAGTAGAAACACTAGCACAGATATATTTTTTTTAAATATACATTTTTAAGACCATTTCATGACACTAAAAATGTCATTGTAAAAAGGTCTACTTGTAATGCTGAATATATGAACATCTTACCTCATACGGTTATTTCCTAATTATTACAGAGCTGAATTTGCATCACATACAGGTTGGCAAAGACTACGTATTCCAGGCAAGACCCACTTCTTTTTAAGTTTAGTATCCTATTTTAGAAAACTTGGATTCAAAGCAAGGCCAAACACAAAAGTTTCTTCAGAGCGGACTGCATTTTGATCAATATTAGATGTATAATTTTCTTTTTAAACAAGCAGCGTCCCAGAGGAGTCACATGGAAATAGTAAGAGCTAATTCAACCTTTTTAAAATATCACAAAGAACATGTATACTATTTACAAAGCCCACTACAATGCCACTGAATTGTCAATTTATGTTCAATGCTATATTGGAAAAGTAGTCTTATTTTGAGAGGTCAGGAGGAACGTAACCTTCTACACAACCATCTTGCTACTACGTGATTTCTTTCTTTTGTAACAATTGAGCCACTCTTTACACAGTGAGCAATTCTTACATACTCCTACAGGTACACCTATTTTTTCTTCATGGAGTCCAACTATATCTTCATAGAATGGAGTCAAGGAGCTTTTTCATTCATTCATGTGTCCAACTGACGGCAATTTCTATCTTTTCTATCTTTTCTATAACTATAATAGGCCCTACCCCATCAGCTCTGCCCCAGACTTTCTGAAGGCATAGTATCCACCAATCTACTCAATAGGCTGCACATGTGCTTTCTCAGGGAGCCAAGTTTTCAAAAAAGATGCTCCCCTCCTTTCTGTAAAATGAAAAGTTACAGCTGCTAACCCTCAGGAGATGTATTTACGAGTTATTAATCCTGAACAGAAGATAGTGCCTCAAATTAAAACCAAATCTGATCCTAAGCAGGGCTCATTTACACAGGTCCAAATTCATATGTCAGTTTTCTTTCATCCATTCAGGCACCTTAAGCCCTAACTCTCAACCAAGGAGAAAAAAGGAATTGAGGAAAAACTCTTTTCATAAATGGACCTCTTGGCTTGTTGTCTATATTCACACACACACACACTTCTCAGTTCAACATGCTATTTTCCATGAACTTTATTCAATGATCTCAAAGAATCTTACTTGTAAGCCTTGGTATGCCTCTGCTAGAAAGCACAGAAGACCCTACCTTCCCTGCAGAGCAAACTATTCTCACCCATTTGTTAGGTGTGAAAGCCAGATTAACATGACATTGTGCTCATTACCTTCACCCTTAGGCTTTTTTTGGACTTAGCCATTAGAGTCAGTCATTAAAGAGATAATACAAATAAAATTTGAATTTCAAAGATATTCAGACACCCGGCTATTTACAGTTCTTTGAACTCTACTCTTCCCTGTCTACACCCTGTATAAAACGGGCAGTACCTCTCTTGACTGCTAGAGAACCAGAAAGACAAACACAACAGCGTTCCTGCAGCATTCTGACTGCAGACCAACAGCCGCAACACACAAGCTGTGCTGATAAAGCAAACCACATGAAACAACTAATTTGTAAAACCTTCTAGCCATTTCCAGAGGGCCTTTTAAGTATAAACACCTGCATTAAGTAGAATCTGAATTTCAGCTCCCCCTCTACTAAATCAGAACGATAGCACTTTGCTGTCTCATGGGGAAGATACAAAGATAAACACCTGAATACCCCACTCTTCTGAGTGACGGGAGACTGAGCAGTTCCTTAGCTAAAACAGGAACACTAACTGTTCCTTTGCCTGGTGGTTTTTGATAATACAATGCAAGCTGTTGTATGTCAGAACTTCAAGGGATACGAATAAGTATTAAAAATAAAGCCTGCACCTTCAGTGAAATTATATTACAGATGCCTAAAACACTTCATAGTTTGAAGAGCTGAGAAGTTGCGTGTGGACACTTCTGGCAGAAACAACCCTTTTCTTTACCTAGGTTCCTCTCATCTAATGTGTACATGTAATGAGCACACCTTCCTGTGCAGCTGGAGGCTTTCTTACAGACAGAAGGACACTGCTTAGTTAGCCAGTACTTATTGACTAACTTTTTTTTTTTTTAAGATTAATTTGGAAAATTTCCCAGATAATACATCTGCCCCTATTACTTGCACCTTGGAGTGTAAGAGCAGCCAGGGAGGTAGTGAGGACAACTGCATTTATTAGCAATGAATAAATGGATCTATCTTTTTCTGGATCAGCAGTGGGAGATCCCAGACACACTAAGTAGAATCTGTCTGCTGACTGACACATACAAACTGGCACACTTTTGTGTCAAAAATGCACACAGCTGCAGGCACACTAAAGCCGTTGCATCTATAGAGCACAATTGCCAACTGCTTATCTTCAGAGATGGGTAATAAGAGAGGATCTTCACAACAAAACAAGTGCAGAGTACAATTAAAAAATATTTTTCATTCCCATAAGTGTCTGTCTTTCTAAATTGTCCTGGATTTGCTACAACTTTCCCTCCATCGGGTTTTGGAAGAAGAACTGATGATCTAGTTTGAAAAACACAGATTTATATTTCTCAAAGACTTTACTGAGTTGCCAAGTACCTGAATTACATGTTTTTAGGTACCAAAACAGGCCGATTTAACCTGACTGTCAGTCATTATCAGCAGATGTCTGGACAAATTGCCTAGCATGCTTTGGTTCTAGGTCATTTCCAGATACTCAGACTAATAGCTGGTCAAAAAGAAGGAACACAATCCAAAGCGATAATAAATTATATTTATCCACACAGCATTATCAGCCATCAGGTGCCAATATGAAGGGAGCTTCATTTTAATATCTTCTCCCAACTCTCTCAAATCACCTTAGCCATCTCAGTAAAACTTATTCAAAGCCTCTGTCTCAGCTTGTGGAGCATAAATGAACCCCAGACTGAATTGGCATTCGAGTAGATTAGTGTTGGGCTTGCCTGGCTACAAATAGTCAGGTGTGTTAACAATGCCAGTAGTGCAACACCCTCTACCCCAACACTTCTGATGAGAAGTCGGAAATTCAGTGATATTCATAATTCTTTACCTGACTGATTAAACTATTTAACTATACCACAGTGATGGGTCTGACTGGAGCTCCAGCGAGAAAAACTGCAGCTCACATTTCGTTTGGTGTTTAGATCATCACAACTGACAACAGAAGAAACACATCAAAGATTTTTTTACTAAGTATATGGTAAAGGGTGCAAACTCTGATGTCAGAAAAAACACTGAGCAATTTGGATGAGGAAAGTAGCCCAGCAGCTGTTCCTACAGATTCCCGCACAGAGACAGGTTTTGCAAGTCAACACGGTGTCAATATTTAACTAACACATTATCACTTGTTATTATTTGACTACCAGTCAAGAAAGCACCTAGCAAGAAAAATAATGGAAGTGATCTGCAACTTTATTTTTTTAAATGAGATTCAGTGAGTGATTATAGAGAAGCAAGGCGGTGATTTTTGTTTTAAACAAATCTGAATTTGCACACACATACTTGCAAGTACCAAGATATCTGTGCTCACATGTTCTTGCCAGTTATGTATGGTGACCCAGCAGACAAGAGACTGTCAGCTGAATGCTCTTCAAAATCTGCAGTATTCTTTTGTGTGTCCACAACGCTGCGTGGTTTTTGCAGCTCTTCTCTGTCTTAACAAAGAAGGCTTAGTACCGGGTTTAGCTATATTGCACTGTGGTGTGGTCTTCGCACCATCACCATGCCATCTAATGCCTGCTCTTGCTGTTGCTTGAATTCCTTTTGGATCTCCCCTTGCTGCTGTCAGTCTCGTGACTTGAGATATATACACACTCCCCTCTACCCCTTCATACACCTTTTCTTTAAAGAAAAACCCAACCTTCAGGTCTGCCTTTTCAATACTCATATTTCATGCACACCAATGCAATATTTCACTTAAAGACCTTTACAACATCTCATGCATGCAACCAGGTTCATTTTCGAAAGAAAACATACTGACAATATCTTTGCTTTATCCCAGAAGTGAAGACATTAGCAAATGATAAGAATCACAGAACATAGGATAATTGGTCTGTTTCGACCTGAATAACTCCCATTTCCAAAATAACTAATCAAAAACAGAGGAGATAATACCCAAAGGCCCAGAAACAGCAGCCTGCTGCCAGATTAGCAGGCTTTTTTCTTTCCTTGACAAAACAAACTGGACCACAACACTAATGTTCTGAACACGGAAGGGAGCGCTTTTTGAGTGCTTATGCAACCTCGAGAATCCTCAAAAAGATACCAGAGAAAATATACCTTTGTATTCACAGTAAAATAATCGAAAAGTTTTTATCCCAGAATAAATAAAAATCCTTCTTATATTTACCACCAGGAAATGAGCCAAACATGCAGCAACATTCAACGTCATGTACATCTCTGTCCAAAGGCAAGGGAATACAAATCCCACATGCCCAATAAAGTTTTCCACAGGCTTTTTATGTGAGAATCGAAATAGCCCATACATCACTAACAATCACATTATGCTCATGAATTAAAACCCACGGATTTTACTATGAAAATTATATACAAGACGATAATAAATGGTAAAACAATTGCTGAGTACAAATGGTACATTTTGTAAGTCATTTAAACTCATTTACCTGTAAAGTAAGTATTGGCGGGGAGAGTGGAACTAGCAAATCTGTAATACCCATTTCCTGGGAAACGGATCCCTTTCATTACTTCTGTACTCAATGTAGCTAAAGATGAATCCATCCTTTCCACCTGGTAGATGGGAGAAGGTCCATTAAGTTCTTCAGGCTCATTCCAATTTATCTTTACCGTTGTGCTGTTTATTCCTTCAACATGAGGGGCATTAAGTTTTCTTGGAGCTGTGCATAAAAAAAATTATCTAGGTATCATTGTCCATAATACTTGGGAAACTACATATTGCACATAACGTAATTTTTGCAAAACATCCCGCTTCAGCTTTTGATCATCTTAAGAATAAACACAGATATACATAGAAGCTTAACTAGGAAAAAAAAAAAAACAAACCAAAAACATTCTTAATCCTTATAAGAACTTACAAGAACCTTACTTGTTTATTCAGGCTTTGGATAAATGTCTCTACGTATTACATCAACATTTTCTTCCGTAATCTTTATAAATCTGAATCAACTTCTTCATAAAAAGTATATTTGTATTCCTTCCTTGATTAGCCTCTCATGCCATAGGCACTGTAAGCATGTATCTGTATGACTTTCACTATTAGATTTGAGTGAAAGACCAAAGGAGAATCTGAACAGTTAATTAACTCTTGTTACATCTCAGCAGTATGGTACATGACAACACGAGTCTTTCATCACTGAACTTCTCCTCGTCAACAGGAGAAGAAGAGCTATCCGTCCACAATACTGAAGGCCCATCAGGTCGTTTTTCTCATGGAGCACACACAAGATATTAGCATATGTTCAGATAATTATCCAGTTCAATAAAATCATCCTCTCTAACTTTTCTCCACCAACACTGGAGACACTTACTTGCGCAGTAAGACACCATATAAGATTGTTTCCACAAAGGTATCAGAATAAGACTGTTTTATGTTATTACAATGATCCTCCTATCATTAAAACCAATACTCTGATATTCTTTTAAACATTCCGATAGTGTTGGTCACTCTATAGCTGAGTTATGAACGATTTCTTGTATATTTTTTTTTAAATATTGTACAGTAAGCCACTGGAGGGCAGCGTGACCTGTTTGGATAATGGCATGATGGCCACACGGGTGAGAAAGAAATGGACCATCCCTGAAACAATAAAAGACATTATCTGGAGAAGTACAAGAACACTCTACTACCCATAGAATCTATATCCGTCTTAACTTGCCTTTTTTCCCTCCCCTTCTTTCCCTGATAAAGAAAAGGATTTAACAACAGAAACTTCATTTGTACCCAGGAAGTGAAATACAATGACAACTTGTAAAAATCACTTGTTCCCATAATGACATAGTAAAGAGCAATAAACGCCTTTCAAGTACAATAAAACCTGAATTAAAATATGGGCCTTCGAAATCTGACATATCACTTCACAGCACAGCATTGTACATAGTGCAAGTTCTTTAGAGAAGGAGAGATTGCTTCATTTAGAATGAATTAATAACATCCTTTTAAACAGTCATGCATTTCAAAGATCATTAACATATTTTTCATTTTTTCTATTTGTCTGTAGTATGTTGTTACAGTTTTTCTTTCCTTCTTTTTCTTTGCCCCTCTCTAACTTGATAAACATTCTTCTTGAAGAAAGCAGGGAGTGGGGGAACTGGGAAACTGCCAATGACACTATGTGCTGTAAATTCCTGCTTAGACATCATTTATGACTTCACAATCTAATTAGTATCTCACGCTATGGTAGAAATTTACAATGTCAAAACTGAAGTAATGCAGCATGAGGTCATAAGCTTTCCTGCATAAGTCGGGCACGGCACTAATGAATTGTGGTATTAATGCACAAGTTTAAATAGAAAACATGGCTTAACAATCAAAACTTCACCTTTGAGGGAACCAGTGTACGTCAGCATTTTAAATGCGAACATAAGAGGTTGAGCCCTCCAATTCAGCTTACTGATGGTAAAACAGAAATGCTAAAATTCATTATTTCTAAAACACATACAGCTAACTAAAACCCATGACAATAACTATATCTTCCTTTAAAGTCTCGTATTAATAAATGGCAGTTACTTGGACCATAATTACGGCATCTCTGATACCCAAACCTGAAGCTTTTATAGGGCTTATGCAATTAACTACTTAAATGCATCGTAACACTTGCTTCTCTGACAGGGAAGTATTGATTTTTTAATCATTTTCAAGTCTCCTCTAGCACAAATAAATGTACTACAGTTACAGTTAATGCACTGTGTACACGCATTAAACACTGGCATGACACAATTTATTATTTTGTGATATATGGAACAGAAGCCTACCCTTTCAGAAAGTAACATCCTTGCTATAACATTAGTATTTAAACTAGAGTCTCGTTGATGCTTGAGAATTCTTGCGTGTCAAGACAGTGGAAGACTGTACTTTATAGGTTACATAAGAAAAAAAAAACCGCCACACCACACAAAACAGGAAACCAAACTTTGCACAGGGACAGGACTGAAAATAAATCTGTAGCACTAGCCCAGCAGGGCACTAAATGCTGAAATTAAAAATATTCAAGACTAAAAGATACAGTATATATTTTCCTAAAGGTGTCACTGTGGTACCTGTAGCTACTTTCAGAAAGATGAATCGACTATAATTTTTACCTATTTAATTTTTTTCAGTCACGTTCTGTTAAGACACATCTGTCATAATAATGAGCGCACTACATTTTAGTGGATTCAAAGTCACATTTTGTGTATTTTAATTATGTAGTTTTAATGTCTTGCTATATAATACATATTTAATACATTATTAAGCTAAAACAGTATTTAAAAGCCCATGATTGCTGCATGCCATTGTGTAGCAGAGGGCACAAAAAAGACCAATAAAGACAGATGGTCCATACAGCTTATGTTGAAGTCATATATCTAAATATAGATGTTGCTACACAGGTCATTACAAATAAGCCTTTCCCATGTGTGTATGCACACACATGTACACAAGAATGAAGTTGGTAAGTAAAGAGCAGTTAATTTTGTTTTGTTTGAAATAATATCATTTTAGTTTTAGACTCCAAGACAGATGCCAGCATTTCGTTCTGAACAGATGGTAATTCCATCTAATAGTGCATCTCTGTATTAGTAAGGTCTGTTGTGTATACAAACAGTAATAAACACTAGGTAAGGATCAAAATAAATTTTAATTGTTGACATTAAATTCTGGCAGCCACGGTTCTAAGGATACAATACTGCTTTCTCAAGTCTGTCAGGTTTACTAATACACTGCTAAAGCTTTTCCATACTCTGCCAGATTCTTATCCCAGGAATAACATATTTACACTGTGGCTAAATTTAACAGGCTTACATATGTTTGAATAACTACTGCTCAGCATACTGTAGAGGTAGATATTTGTGTACCCTTCCATAGAAGCCTTCAATTAGCCACTCTGAATAGTTCAGGAAGGTAACAGTAACAAAAAGTATACAGTTTTTAATTACTGCTCAGTTGAATTCAGAATACATACATACAAGTTAAAACAGAAACGTTTGGCAAATTTGAGGACAAAACCTTAAAAGAAAGTCTATTTTTTTTCATCTTGGAATTTACCTCGCAGGAAAAATTACATCCCTCACTATTGGTCATCTTTTCATTTTTGCTGAGCACCCTGAGATTGCCACAGAATTTCTGGTATGATCTTTTCTTTCTCTGCACTTCACAACAGTATCAGTCATTTAAACAGTAAATGAGTCAAGAAATAATAATTTTATCTTCTGACAGTATTTTGATTTTTTTAGAAGATTCCTTAGAGTCCATTTTGGACTCTTCCCCCAAACAGAATACAAATCACCCATAACGGACATCAAAAGACAACTTAATAACAGGGATATGTTACAATCATATTTCTTTAAAAATAGATATAATACACAGTATTTTTTGAAAATCATGAAAAATATATTGCTTCCACCATATGGGACAACCAACGACTCACCAACCGATTTAAGATGCAGCATATTGAGCTGACCATATGTTACAGTGCTGTTGAATGGCTGAGTGATTCATGCCCGTCACATTCTAGTATATCAATTAAAGCTCCTTGAAGTCTGCATGATTTGTGTCTCTGTTATTAAACCCTGCTAATTCATCCCACTTACACATCTGTTATAAATCTCTAGGAGTGCTGCATGATTCATGGCAATCTGTGAGCATGGTACAGCAAATTCTTCTCCTTGTAATTAACAGTAAATTGTTTTACTGCCATGCAATGAATTTTTCAGTTATATTGCAAATGAACTCCTAAATGCATGGTTCTTTCCTAAGAACTGACTTATATCATTAGGCAATTAAATAGTATTGCTTTGAACCAAAAGCTTTTAATCAAGAGGAATGCAACTTAAACGTAGCTTAAACCCCTTGCAAATTTGACACAGGGAGAAAAGAACAAACTGAGCTATTTTCTGCAGTATAATACGTAGTTCGTAAGGGAGAAGAAACAAACAACTTTTGAGGCCCTACTAATTTCCTGAAACTCAAAGCTGTTTAACTACAGCTTGAATGCTTGGCTAGACAAGTTTGAGCACATACTATTTATCTCAGAAGTTACTTAAGTCATCTGTCATTACAAAATTTCTCAGATTACTTTACACCTTTCTAATTGTAAAACAGTGTCTTTATTCTTGAAATAAATAATTGGATAATTAGCCAAGCTGAATCATCAGAGGATTCCAATGCTGCTCAAGTGTTCTTGTCAAAGGTGAAGCAAATTCATTTCAGCTTTGCCTCTGCAGCTTTCTGAAGAGGCTTTGATTTTTTTTCCTGCTACATTCTTGGCAGCAGCCTCAAATTCATGAGTCCATACATCAAGTCAGTAGTTTAACAACAAATGAAATTAAATTCAAAGAAGGGAAACTAATTGAAGGACAGCAACAAAAGTATTTGGTAATGTGCTTTTTAATATGGCATGCCACATTTGCATGATAATTTTTCCTTTTTAGCATGGAGCAGAAACTGACTAGCTTAATGAGGGATTATTCAAGACAGGAATGAACAAAATGCATTCATAACTAAGAACAAAGATTGTATTATGAAACGGAAACAGGCAACTGCCGAGAAGTAACTGGATGATTGGTTTATGCATTATGAATAAAAAGGTAGAAAAATATTTATATTAGTATTCACTAATGACTATATATACAAGATTGTTGTAATTAAAATTATAAATTAACATATTAAGAGTGCTTGTTT